CTTCAGTGTACTTGGAGGCATCTTGATGTCTTTATCTTTTAAATTCTCCAAAAAGGACTTGAGTTTGGGCCACCAGGTGCAAATCTTCCAGCACGGTTGTGCAAGACTTTGAACTCGAACCATAAGGTCCATAACCATTTCCATTACATCTGTGACAATGCATAGGTCAACCACGAAGTCCTTACCCAATAGTTCATACTCCTTCATCTCATTATATCCAAATTCTCTAAATGCTTCTGTGTATACTTCAAAGCCATCAATGATGTTGAGAAATTGGCGATACTGGGATGACCAAAATCTTGTGGCACAGTTTCCCTGTGTCACTTTCAACTTGACACCTTTGGATTGGGCAATTGCAATTGCACTGCTGAGCATTTTTCCTCTATTAAACATTGCATGAATGTTTTTTGACCTGTTGACAACATTTCGTAAAAAACTACCCGACTGGCCAATTTTGTCATCTCTGATATCAAGAATGGCGAGGTTTAGCCAGTGGGATGGGTCCCAGATCACAACGGAGAACTTTGGATCTATCTTTACATTCAGTTCTTTGTGGAGGGTCTCTCCAAACTCCTTTGCCTGGTATTGCCCATCACAAGACGTTCCTTGCCATGACGATCGTAAATCAAACTCCATGTGGTCACCAAATGCATTTTTAATACTCTAAATAACTTGTTTGGCAAGCTCATCAGCATTTGCCCCAGAGACCGTCCCTGCTGTTGCCCCATCTTCTGACGAATACACTTTTGGCGAGTGTACAGGAATGGAAACTCTTTCGCCATTCACAATTGGACAAATCATAATGGCTCGATTTGTAATACGTTGCGGTGTGCTCTTGTCAGCTGTTATAAAAAAGTGAGGAGGGAAACCAGTAGACTGGAGTGGTTCAGCCAAAAACAAGGCAGACCGTCTATCAACCCATACCTGCATTGCAGCCAAAATTTCATTGAAGTGATTTCGTGAGTGGCCAAAGTCACCAAGATCACTCCCTGTCGAAACGTGTGCAGCAATTTCGGACTCAAAATGCTGTGCAGCGGACTTAGATTTCAGAACTGCAAGGGCAATTCTAATCGAGTTGTTCACAACTTTCTGACCTCGTGCTTCTCTCTTCCTCATCGCCGTCTCGTGCTGCAAGGCCTCAAAATGAAGCTGAGAATGATCTCCAGCACAGACCAAGTGCTGTCTGATATTCCGTTTTGAATGATACCAGAACTGATTTCTACCATTGACAAGAAATGTAGACTTTTCCTGGGATAGAACAAGGCCAGAAGACAATGATCCAGCATATTTTCCAATGCACTTAAGAGCGACTTTGACTGGGCAATTCAACGTTTTGCCAGATGAACGATGCTGCAAAAGACGGTAGCAGGTTTCACACCTGAGAATAGATGGGGTCATTGTGGCTGCATCACCAGGGTAGAAGCGTATTGATGGAATTTCATGTGTTAAATCAGCTATGTTGTTTATTTTTTTTCAGTCGATATTATCAACATGTTCAGAATCAATAGACTTCAAAGGAGTCAGTAACGGTGTTGAAGAAGCCTCATTGGACGGTTTGAGTTTCAAAGATTTTATACTGTTTACCAGACCATCAATCTTTGTATTCAAATTGTCAAATTCCTTTTTAAAGATATTTCCAGGGACACCTTCTTTGACAAATTCAATGGATGACTGACTTGTTGAATTTTCCTGACAGTCAAAAGAATTTGGAAGATCATCTTGCTGATTTGTGGTGCGAGGATGAACAGCATTTTGATTGATATTTGACTTTTGACCTTCCTAAGTTAAAAAAAAGCCAGAAAGGTAAACAGTTAGTACATGACTAGACAGAACATGTGGATTGTATACTTGCCAAAGTTTTATATAGTTCAACAAATATTAAATTGTTTGATGTATATAGTAGACACACACTCATATATGTGAATACACACCAAAACATCCATGCATATATATAAACATGCATCGATATTCTGAACAATGTGAAAACATTATCGATATTCCACAAATACAATAGTTTACCTGTTGATGAGGAACTGTACTCGCGGTAGTATGGCCAGACACTGTGGTAAAAAGTCTTTGTGAAGGGGTCTTCTGGACTACTTGTCTTTTGAGAATAGCTGCCTCGCCTTTACTTTCCTGTGCTTCTAAATACTTTTTCTTTGCATCACTTAGATCTTTCCCAAAGCATTCAAAATTGTAAATTTCAATTTCACCCATGGTTAGTCCCAGGGTGTCGCCTTTTTAAGTGTCTTTCTTTGGTATGATTATCACGTCTTGACATTACATGCACAGTGGGCTCTACTTTATCTTTGAAACATGTGATACAGATGCAACGAGTTTTGCTAAGGGCTTTTGAATCCTGTTTCTTGGGAATTTTACGTTTTGGCTCAGTATTAACAGAAGGGTACCTAATGCACCAGGTAGTTGTTTTTTTCACTGGTGGTTCATTGTCAGTAGACTTAGTACAATTATTACATATGACTTTGGAGCCATACCCTTCCTCCGAACCATTACTGGTGGAACATGTTGAAATTGCATGGGTTACCTTCTTACATAACATACAATGATGAGCACCAGTACTTGGTTCCTTTCCCACACACAACAAAATAAATCCGATTCCATCTACAAAAAACAATTTATAATTTTTGCATAAAACCTATGTATGTTGGCATTTCAGACAGTAGGTGATCAATATTCAAAAATAATAAAATTTTGTATCTTAAAACTATGCACTATTGCTCATAAAGTAATCCCACAATACTACCATACCCAACAATTAAGTCACCATGTAACTCTAACATGAAGTATTGTTAATAATTAAAGGTAGGTTACAGTCCGTAATGTAAACAAATGCTTTGTTTTATTGTTTACATTTTGAACTATATTTTTTAAAATATCTGCAGTTACTGCCAGAATGTTTAACACTATTTTTGGTTCGCTATAGTTGTGAAAGTTTATGTTCAGCTGAATATGCAAAATTTTTAAATCATGTAGTCCTCCTTTGTTATGAGCACAAGCGATGCACAGAAGCAGCTGTAACCTCCCTTTAAAATCCGAATTCATAAAAACCTAAGGTCATAACTGATAACTGGAAAAGTATTCTAAAGGAAAACCTTATCAGTTATCACTTTAATAGGCCTTGAACTCAGGGTCGTATGTATCCATTAGGGACCAATAGGGGTGGGGGGGGGGTGAAATGTCAATATGAGTCTGAACCGTTTCCTAAGATCAAATTTTTCAACACAATCCCCGACCCCCTATGGCGGTATTATTATTAATGCACGCATTGCACAATGCACATGCAGGATTCCGGGTATAAATAATTAAAATTCAATTATTCAATCTGAGAAGTGAGAATCAAACAATCCAAACATGACAATGTGAACTGGAAAAACTGCCATATGTGATGTCTAAAGTCAAAAAGTTGATCACTTAAGTTACGAGTTATAAGTGACCTTTAGTTTGTGTAAAATAATACGACTTACCTTCAGTTTTATTGTCTTTAGGCTGCAAAACCGTAGACATGCTCTATGTATATATATGTATATATATGTATATATATGTATATATATATGTATATATATGTATATATATGTATATATATGTATATATATGTATATATATGTATATATATGTATATATATGTATATATATGTATATATATGTATATATATGTATATATATGTATATATATGTATATATATAAGTATATATATATGTATATATATATGGATATATGTATATATATATGTATATATATATGTATATATATATGTATATATATATATGTATATATATATGTATATATATATGTATATATATATGTATAATTATATATGTATATATATATATGTATATATATATGTATATATATATATGTATATATATATGTATATATATATGTATACAGTCGCTGTCATTAACGTTGTCCAAATCAAGTATATCAATATACCTGTCATGTGACTTATTGTTATGCATCAACTCGCGTGTGCTTGCATGCGATGGCGCGCTTCGCGAATATTGCGAGTTTAGTCGGACAGTATTTGCCGGCAGCATATTCGAACGATCTACGGTGGCGAATGATATTTCACGGCGTCTTTTATCAACGCACCTATATAAGCAAATCGCATCACAGTTATTTGTCAGTTCTACCAAAACTGTTTACCGCGTACTTATCAAACGTTTATTAACACTGGTTATATAAAACCTTGGGTCCTTGGTCTTTCCTCACGAAGAGTACATCATCATCATGGATCACGCTTCACTTCCAGCTAAACGTATTTTAACTGCGGTACAGAAGGATCTTGAATTTCTACTGTATTATTTTGTGCAGAGAATTAATGATAGCAACGGATGATGCATTCAGTTAAAATGACCATGAATATAGAACAAAGCTAGTTTGTTTTGACCTTTCCCAATTGGTATAAACAATTTAGTCATTGGCGCCTCTTAATCATGTCTTATGAAATAAAGTTAATGAAGGGCACAAAGGATTTCTGTCTGTTTGTCCCTAACAATTTAAATTTTTGCATAAAAATCTATTGTTTGAATTGCATTTGACGCCACAAAAGTTTGACGTATAAACTACAGTACAGTAGGCCTAATATATGCACGTATAGCGGACAATAGTTTACGCACCCATAGACTTAGCATATAGTGATTGCACGGGCATTCAAATTTTAACAAAAAGCTAATTCCTTAATAACGTCTAAAGGTATAGCTCCGGCATTTCATGAGTGGCTGCATGCCTTGTTATGATCATGATAATATTGTGATCTAAGTATCTGATTTGATATCTACCAAACAGCACAAATCAGGGGTCTCAAATTGACTGAATAAATTAGCCAAGCACTGTCTCATTAGCGCTGTCACGAAAGCAAAATAACAAAAGGCTTGAAGGCCAAAACAACGAAAAGAAAGGGCAATTAATGACAATGCTTGGCTGATTTATTCAGCGAATCAGACAACCTTGGCACACAACTCCTAATCGTCAGTCGAAAATGGCTGCAAAGACAGCACCAGAAATAATTCCATTCTTAGACATTAGAGTGTTGGATTCGGTGAGGAAGAGTAGTTTCCGAGTCCGACAACTTACACAGTTCCCAGTCGTTAAAACCATTGGGCAAATGCGAAAGGAATTAATTGAACGTTTGCCTGACGTAAAGAACGTGGAAACTTGCCAGCTTGGTTATGTGCTGGAGAGGAATAAAAAATATTCCATTGGTTCTGATGATGAACTGCAGAAAGCATTCGGTCATTTTCGTGCAGGTTATCAAATGTGGTTGGATCCAGCTTCGTTGACGCAAAATTTGATACCAGCCAAAACGTCGACTGGTAAATCTGCCCAATCAGGTTAGTATAATAATACATTCTTCATACGCAGACAACGTGTAGTTCATTTCTTGCTGTGTAACTGATTGATTTCATCCTTATAGAAAAGCCAACATCTTCAAAGGAATCCATAATTCAATCCGAAATTGAACAATTGCAGAAGATGCACGGCGACTCGCATCCTGCCTACAAGTATCGACTGTGGGCTGAAATGATCGTAAGCTTCACATTCCAAATAAATTTCAAACTGGTTTTATACTTTCTATGCATGCTACCTTAAAGGAGTAACATCAATGCCTTATTCTGGCTTATTTATTTTTGGTGAATTTATTGAATATTTCTTTCACAGATAGTTGGAACAGCAAATAGACAATATGTACCCGATGTCCCGATGTTTCACGCGACACCAGCGAAACGGCCGCGAAGAGAAACTTGGTCAGACAAGCTAGGCTCTGCAAGCGAAACAATTGCTCGTGCAATCACGGCAGGGCAAAATGCTGCAAAGCAAAATGATGAACATGTAAACCAGGTAAGTGTAACTGCATGCATGAGATACTTACAATATGATATACTTATGAATTGCAATGTATAACAAAAATATTTGTTTGTTTTTTGCATCTTCTCATTTCTTTAGCCGGGTCAATCTACCGCTTCAGGGTCAACCGATGCGTCTAAAGCTATCATTCGCACACAAATTTTGAAACAAATCAAGGAGTTGTATGAATTGAAGACAATTGGGGCCATTACCGATGATGAATACAATTCCAAAAAATATATATTGCTAAAAGATCTGAATTAGTGATGCAACTACAGCAGAGTGCCGCAGCTAGTTCAACGATTGTAGGGGTGGGACGTATTTATATATTCGTATTCACTATACCTTCTTACGAGTTATTCCCAGTCGATAAACAGCTTTGCATAACGTTTCTTCACTGAATGCAGAACCAGTCACATTATAAATACAGTTGGCCAATTCATTTAGCTGCATTTGCGGCCGTCTTAGTGCATAATCCATGATGATGTACTCTTCGTGAGGAAAGAAAGTGTTTGTATCTTTTGGTCGACCAAGGACGCAAGGTTTTACATCACCAGTGTTAATAAACGTTTGATAAGTACGGTAAACAGTTTTGGTAGAAACAAATAACTGTGATGCGATTTCCTTATAGGTGCGTTGATAAAAGACGCGGTGAAATATCATTCGCCACCGTAGATCGTTCGAATATGCTGCCGGCATTTTAAAATCTTGCTTCTCTTATTTGAAATACTGTCCGACTAAACTCGCAATATTCGCGAAGCGCGCCATCGCATGCAAGCACACGCGAGTTGATGCATAACAATAAGTCACATGACAGGTATATTGATATACTTGATTTGGACAACGTTAATGACAGCGACTGTATATATATGTATATATATGTATATATATATGTATAATTATATATGTATGTATATGTATATATATGTATATATATGTATATATATGTATATACAGGGTGTATCAAAAAAAATGTCCCAAATGTAAAAATTCCGTTTTTCAGGATATTTTGCAGAATTTGGCAAATTTTTCTGTTCCTAGAGATAGTTAAGACTTATCTGGTATACCTAGGCCAAGTTTGGTTTTCATTAACAAAATTATGTTACCGGGGGGTGGTTCCTTTCCATGAGATATTATTTAGCTGTCTAAAAGTAGGAAAGCTTTTTAATAAACTGTCAAAGTTTCAGGAAAAATAATGCATACTGGGAGCAACGCGCAACGCCTAAAGGTGACAAATATTTCATTGCGCGCAGTTGATTAAATGCATCGTTGATTTTAGCGTGATCGATCTCATACAAGGTGGGCAAATGAATAAATTAAAGCGAGAAACTGAACACAAAAACAAAGCGATTTATTCGTGATGTTAATCCTCAGCATGTCCACCATTTCATTCTAAGCAAACTGCGGCTTGTTTGAGCATACTAAACACTGAACAGCGAACCATTTGTCTGTCCATTCGCCTAGATTTGCCGGTGGTAGCGTATAGGCGATTTGCAAGAAAGAATTTCGAACGAAATGGATAATTTGAGGCAGGACAGACAAATGTGGTTCGCGGTTCAGTGTTTACCATGCTCAGACGAGCCGCAGTTTGCTTAGAAAGAAATGGTGGAAATGTTGAGGATTAACATCAAGAATAAAAATCTTGTTATTAAATCGCTTCGTCTTCTTGTTCAGTTTCTCGCTTTAATTTATTCATTTGCCCAGCCTTGCATGAGATCGGTCACGCTAAAATCAACGATGCATTTAATCCACTGCGTGCAATGAAATATTTGTCACTTTTAGGGGTCGCGCGTTGCTCCCAGTTTGCATTATTTTTCCGGAAACTTTGACAGTTTATTAAAAAGCTTTCCTACTTTTAGGCAGCTAAATAATATCTCAATTTCAGCTTCACATTTTCACGCGCAAGCCTTCTCAATATCAGTGGAAAGGAACCACCCCCCCGGTAACATAATTTTGTTAATGAAAAACCAAACTTGGCCTAGGTATACCAGATAAGTCTTAACTATCTCTAGGAACACAAAAAATTGCCAAATTCTGCAAAATATCCTGAAAAACGGAAATTTTACATTTGGGACATTTTTTTTGATACACCCTGTATATGTATATATATGTGTATATATATGTGTATATATATGTGTATATATATGTGTATATATATGTGTGTATATATGTGTATATATGTGTATATATGTGTATATATGTGTATATATGTGTATATATGTGTATATATGTGTGTATATATGTGTATATATGTGTATATATGTGTATATATGTGTATATATATGTATATATGTGTATATATGTGTATATATGTGTATACATGTGTATACATGTGTATACATGTGTATACATGTGTATACATATGTATATATATGTATATATATGTATATATATGTATATATATCTATATATATGTATATATATGTATATATATTTATATATATGTATATATATGTATATATATATGTATATATATATGTATATATATGTATATATATGTATATATATGTATATATATCTATATATATGTATATATATGTATATATATATGTATATATATATATGTATATATATGTATATATATGTATATATATATCCAAAGAATTGACTGTCACAAAGAGTTCACAGAACTTGACAATGGTTGAAGAGTGCTCAATACCATTACTGGCAGAGCGAAAATATATTTATTTATTGAAAGACTAGCTTAGCTACTCTGAGTTTCATGCTATAAAGCGATCGTTAGGCTAATGACAGGTCTAGTTGCTATTCTCTATATTTACATCGTGATATAAGGTATCGGGTTACGTGTCTACATCGAGTGAAAAGTTCAGAGCGTTTGTTCAGCAGAGATTTAGTTTTGCGTTTCATAATGTATAGCTTCTCTTCAAGGCAGAGGTTACATCTTCTTGAGCCGGCTTTGTAGGCTGGGACGGTTTTCAGGAGGGACCATGTTATAGAGAATGCTTTCTTAGCTTCCTTCAGCTTCCATATGTATTTTGACAGCTCCGTCTCCTTCGCGTATTTCTTGTTCGCGAAAGATTTTGCATGGTTTCGGTAGCGCGTTTTAAAATCGTCCGCAGTGACTCCGATGTACCTCGCTGGCGGATCGTTGTTGCACATGGACACTTCGGCTTGATACACAACGTTTGATGTGAGGCATTTACCTTGAGCTGGGCATTTTTCCGGACGTCTACAGTTGCATTGTCGTGAGTTGTTTGCGTCGTCTGTGTTTGTGTTTGTCTGTTTTGTGTGTTTACTTAGTATTTTCCTGTTGTGCTTGTTTATGAATGAGTGCATGTTGCCAAGGCAGCCATAGCTAATTCGTACGTTGTGTCGGTTGAAGATTTTGTGGAGTTTATTGGAAGGTGGGAAGTGTTTGTCTAGCAGTTGTAGGAATTGCTGTCCGGTGTTCGTTTTTACACTCTTCGAGTAAGGGGGATTGTACCAGATTGTATTGCGTTGCCGTTTCCGTCTTTGCGTTGTGTTGCAATTGTTGATGTTGTCATTGTTGGTTGCTCGTACATGAGTATTGCGTCATAGTTGCTTTGTCTCAGTGCGTTGTTGTACAGTTGAGATGCAGCGTCAAAAGTTGTTTTGTTGCATGATAGTTTGTTAATTCGTTTGTTGATGCATGATGGAAGTTGTCGTGTGATGGCAGGTGGGTGATTGGAAAGGCGGTTGATGTATAGTGGATCGTCGTTTGGTTTTCTATAGGGTTTGTATGTTCCGTCAGTCAAGTCAAGTGTGACGTCAAGGAAATTTACCCGCTTCAAGTTAGCCGTTGCAGTGATTTTCAGCCCGAGGTTCTTGAAAGTTTCGGTCAACTGTTTCCTAGCTTTGTCGCCTAATCTGCCTGATGTAGTACGTATTGCGGCGAGGCCGTCATCGCGGTACAGTCCGATGTTCTTCAGTTGCCCTTTCAGTTTACTGAGGATGAATAAACCGACGAGTTCGCAGATTTCGGCCCCATCAAAACTGCCCATCGTTACATCGAAAGCATCTGCGGTGTTTGACTTTGTCCACGTCTGGTTGTTGTTGAATAACAGCGATTGTCTGGCGTGCTTGATTACTTTGATGTCCTGATCACTTATTTCGGAAAACTGTTTGGCCCATTCGATTGCCTCGTCAAGTAGTTGCTCAGTGATTGATGGGTAGAATTCGCATATGTCAAAGCTCAGGAAAGTGTGTTTGTCCTTGTTGTTGATGTCCTTGAACCACGCGATCGTATCATCAGTGTTGCGCCATATATATATATATATCCATATCCGACCATCACTCTTCAGAAACAAAAGGAAGAATTTCCAACAGCGTACTATACGTAGACCATCTGCTTCAGAGATAGCATTGCAGAAATTCACAAACAGCATTCCATACTCAAGGAGTGCAAGATGATAGGAGAACATGTCATCTTTTTTGCAAATTGATACACTTGAGGTATCTTCTATGGTGGATTGTATTTTGTCAGCATGCAATCCATGAGTCTTCTCATGTTCAATCCTGCTCTTGCCATTGTACTTGAATGATTTCAGGCATCCTTGATGTCTGCATGGGTAACACCCAGTGGGGGCAGATTTTGTTGAGTTTAATTCTTTTTCCAACTTGTTTATTAGTGATTTTACATTCTCTTCATGTAAAATAAATTTATCCACAATCTTTAAAGACAAATATTTTAGGAACTCTTTTTGTGTAGACATAGGTGCTTGTTTTAAAGATTGAGGAAGCACAGATTCTTCAGGTTCATTATCAGTTGCACTTATCTGCAAAGTGTTCAGTGTTGCTGCAACAATTTGTGCCTCAATCTCCATATTGAAAAACTGCTTGCATGCACTAAACTTCGTCTTGACTTCTTCAACAACATTCTGTCGGTTGATCAGGTTCCTGTCTGCATACATAGTGCACTGATCAAATGGTACACTTGGATTATAAAAATAATCAAAGACAACTTACAAATAAAAAAATAGGAGCAAACTTTGTGCCATACTGAAAGTACAGTACAGTATTGCTTTTTAGTGTTAATAACCAAGGGAAGGGCCCATACTAGAAAAATATCAGACAGCGGTCTTTGCAATACAAATTGAGTGAAGCGAGGTTTCTACTACCCTGCGGCCCTGCATCACATACTATATAGTGTGACCCAATATATCGTCTGTGGTGCAGGCTAGGTTCATACATGAAAGGCCAATGTATGGTATTTTTATTCTATAAACAAGTACGATCTACTATAGTGGACCAGGAACTGCGTGACCGAGTTTCTGAACTGCATT